ACACTTCGCTGATTATGACAGGGATCAAGCTGCCCGGTCAGCTCGCGAGGGTCCAGGGGGCAACGCCCCCGAAGCAAAATGCAAAAATACATTCAAAGTTGCCTGTCCGCTCGAGCGGACATTCGCACGCTCGAGCGGAGAATACTGGGTTTCAGAAGTTTGTTCGCCTGCAAAAATACTGGGTGTTGTTTTTTCCCGCTCGAACGGAACTTTCCGCGCTCGAGCGTAGGTCCGCTCGAGCGGCCAATCCGACGCTCGAGCTGAGATCGCGGGACAGTTTTCTATAAATACGTGTTTCAATCCAATTCTAGGATAACTTCTCCAGATCTTCTTCTTGGGTTCTAGGGTTTATATCTGGAGATATTTTGCTAGTTTTCTTTGATGTTTTGATTGAGTATTCAACTATTGTTTGGGAGGAGATAGGGGATGTACTCCATGGTTTGAGAGGAGATAGGGGATGGACTCTCAAACCTATTTTGGGAGGAGATAGGAGATGGACTTCATTGATACAGCAAATATGTGTGTCACTTGAAGTATGGAAGTGTTTAATGTGAGTTGTTATCTCATTTGAAATGGAAGTGTTTTAATGTGAGCTTTAGGCTCATTTGAATTATTAATATTGGAAGTATTTTTATATGAGCTGTTGTCTTATGAAAATTGTTTGGGCCAGGTTCTGAGCCATGTTTATATAAATGGAAAATTGGATAAGTAAAGGAAAGTGGGACGTAACATGGACTTGATTGTCATGGAATTGTATTGTGATATAAATTGGTTTATAAGTGTTAACCATCTATCAAATGTTATTGTTTTAGTCATTGCTTATATCTAGTTTAGTATATCTCTGCTGGACATTGACTCACTCTTTATGGGACATCATTTTCAGGTTTAGGTAATATGCAACCTCCAAGGACATAACTTGGGAGGCTTAGTGACTGGAAGATCTTTTTGATGTTATCTTTGTATTACATGTAAATCAAGTCAAGTGCTTATTTTGTATAAAGAGTTAGACTCTTCTTTTGTTGAACCCAAGTGTTGACTTGGAAAGTTGTAAGCTCGTAGGGCATTTACTTTTGTTGTCAACATATAACACTTTTGTAGTAAACACTCTGATTTATGGAATATATTGTATGTTTCTTGTGTCATGAATGTATAAATTATGGGTTTATTTTGAGGGCGTTACAAGTTAATTAGGAGAAAATTTTTTTACTAACAATATTTAGTTATTTATAAATATTTGTTTGTTTTTTAGTTATACAGCCGTACCCATTTCAACTTGTAGAAATTATCTAGTGCTTTTGTGCATAATTAGGTGGTTACTAGACAAATATGTGAAATTTCACACTAAATTATAAATTCAAAAATTTTAAAAATTTCAATTCAAAAATTAAGTAAAATTTTCATACATTTATAATAAATAAATAAATAATGTGAAATTTCAAAAGTGAACTTTTCGTACTATCAAATCCAAAAAAGTGTGAAGTTTTATATATTTTTCCTTTTATATAATTTTATATTCAATTGAGATCTTATTTGATAGATCTCATTGACTACTTTTTAAAAATATAAATTTTAAGAAATTATACCGGTAATTTCTATATTTTATCTCTTATGTTATTTTGATCTTTACATTTTCAAGTGGCCCAATTTTGACCTTTAAGTTTAGATTTTGTATCAATTTCGTACAATTGATAATATTGTTAATTTTTTTGACGAAAAATTGTCACTCAAATTGATTGAGGTTAACTCAATGAGTTGAACAAACTTATGATTTTGCCCTTAAAATCATGAGCAAACTACCAAAATGTCATAACAATTGCACTTAATTCAAGTCCTATTGAAAGTTAGTCCTAATAAAATTGTCGTTAAAAAAAAAATTTATCACACTTTTTTGTATGTCACTAAAAATTGACAATTAGTGACTTTTTTTGTTACGATTATTAAAATTGTTGCTAAAACTTACAATTAATGACTTTTTATGTGACGAATTTTTTAAATTATCGTTGAAAGTTATAAATTAGTGACTTTTTTGTGATGATTATTTTAAACCATCACTAAAACTTATAATTAGTGATTTTTTTGTGATAAAATTTTCAAATTGTCATTAAAAATTAATAATTAGTGATATTTTTTAATAGTATTTGATGAAAAATACTGTTAATCATCACATAACCTATTAAACAATAAATTCACCTATTAGACCTAAAGTCCCCTTATATATATGATATATGTTATATGGGGCTGTAATTTTTTCCATGCAAGGAAATCACAACAAAAGTTAAACTTCTACATTTTGATAAATAAATCTAAAAATATGATTTTTAACATTTCTTAGTTTTCTGCTTCATCACAAGTCAAACAGATAAATTTTGTCCTAAAAAATGTCTCAGATCTCTAAACTAAGAGTTCTAATAGCTCTAATGTAGATGTAGGTTTCACATGATGAGATGTTTTGACCTTCTATTTTTTTTAAATCAGCTCATTAAACTGATTTAGTGCTCCAAATTTAGAACTACCATTCACTTCTCTTTTGTACTTGATCATGCAGGCTTCTTCATCTTAAAGATATTTTGGAAAGATGATTAAAAATTATTTATCTTTTTACGAAAAGATGTACAAAAAAATAGAGAGATAATGTGATAAAAAAAATAAATAAATAGATTATTTTAAAAATGCTAAACTTGACCTTAATGCACTTAAAAAGTCAGTTTCGAGATATCAATTTTGAAAAGGAAAAATGATAAAATGCATCCCATATCTGACCATGTCTAGTCTTATCTTTCGGATAGAAGCATCTAATAGACTTTAATACTTTCAAAACTTTACTCATGACCGTACATTGATGGGCGCAACTTTCAAACATCACAGGAAGCCAATTAATCAAATGAAAAGTCGTTCCACACGTTTGGGAGCCATCTCACGGTGGTTCCTTAATTCGTTATTTTAACAAACTTTCAAACTAAAGTATTCCATTTTACTATTGTTTTCAATTTTCAAGGCTATATATGTACATTACACTACAAAAATTTTAGTTTTTTACGATGGCACGGTACCGTCACTAATACTCTTAATGTTGTCTCAAAAGATTTTTAGTGACGAAAAATAACTTTTAGCGATAGCAAATAGGGGGTCATAACAGAGATCGTTGCAAAAACCTTTTAGCGACGACATCATGCCGTCACCTTTTTTTAGCGACGGCAATTGTTACCTTTTGCGACGGCAATTTACTGTCGCATATAATATGTAAAAAAGTTAGACCTTTTGTGACAACACTGTTTTATCGTCGCTAGAAGTTTTATTTGAGACGGTAAAAACTGCTATTGCGAATGTTTTCTTTTTTTTTTTGCAACGACATGCCCACTGTCGCCAATGATTTTAATATTTTTTGCGACGGTATGGTGCCGTCACAAAAAAAAAAGAAGAAACCTACAATAAAATTATTAAAAATATTAATATTACATGTATTAAATGAAAAACAATTGAAAAAGAAACAATAATTGCATAATAATATAAAAATTCCTATATAGAAAAAATAATTTCTCCATAATAAAAATATTTTTGCATTCATAACTACACATCAACAAAATTACCACCACTACATAATATTCTATAATACATATATAATGTTTAAATACATAATGTTGTTCATAATTCAAAATAACATAAACCAAAATTACAAGTTTTGCTTATCATTCTCTGTGGGTAACAAAAACAAAAATTAGTCGCATTCTTCACAGACATGCATTCCACAAGAAGCAAACTCATACTCGGGAAATATCTGAAAACAAAAAATAAATATAATTAATGACAATATAATTATGTTTTAATATGGTAATTACAAAAAAACATTGAAATTTAACTACCATACAATTACAAAGATAATTAAGTAAATAATTTTGCCTAGACCAAAATCCGGCTCTAACTCTTAAACCGGGAACCCGATTCGAGTCCCGTTTTCTCCCACAAGTCTTTTGTGCCTAGGCGGTCGTGTGTGCCAAGTTTCGTGCTACT